CGTTACACACATCACAGTGGAAGGAGCGGTCCTTGTAAATACTGAACGGGAAATAGGAGCATCATTTCGCAGGTATTTACTCGAGCACAATATGATTCGTTGGGGAAACAAATTTCTAATTAATACTTAAAGGCGCTGTATTTCTACTTGATAAGCTGCAATAATTACTGAGGAGGAAACTTGATACGTATGAGGAAACCAAAACTAATGTTTTGTGGGATTCCATGAGGTGTGTTAACCACTCATCGATGAAGCTTCTCTGTAACATTTTGCTCTCGCTCTAAAGGCAGCGCCCGGATTCTTCATTCATACAGTAACACAGGTCAATAACTCCTTGACTTGGTACTGAAGCAGGCCAATAACTCCCTGACCCTTATTCTTTTGGACAACAAGCATAATATCCAAACAAACGAAAAAAAAATTGGTCATGAATATTGTTTCACCTACCGGCAGATACCACACTTTTCGCAGTGATAAGGAGCTTTATCTTCCCCTGTGAAGTGTTTACACACCGAGCAGAAATATGCTGAGAACCTTGTTTTGCATCTGGCACAGGTGTGGGCGTCCTGGTTGATCTTAAAAATCAAACATTCGAAGTTAAATCGGTGATAACCTAAGTGTAAGAACCCTCTTTCCTCTTATATAAAATTTTAAGTCAATGTCATTCCTGTTTACCTCTTGTTGATGGCTACAAACAGAGCACTCAACAGAACACGCCTCTCTTGCTTTGGAATTGTCATTTGGGCACCCAGAGTTGTTATGACAACGATGACAAGGAAAGAACTTTCCGCAGCATGAAAACTTGACACGGCAGAGCCGTTGATAATGTTCACACAGCCATTGTCGAACCCCAGCAGGAGCCGAGTCTTGCGAAGGTGTTTCTTGTCCACTGCTCGTGGAGTTCTCTTCTACTCTTTCATTCATGAGTTCCGTTTCTCTCGCTTCCCTCGCTTCCCTTTCTTTTCTTTCTCGTGCTTGTTTTTCTTTCCTTTCCCGCTTTTCTTTTCTTTTTCGCTCAGTTTCTTTCATGGATTTCTCTCTCTCTTGTCTTTCTTTCAACGTTCTCTCGACAAGAGAGCAAGCTTCAGCCACACGTTGCTCGAGTACGGCCAATGACCCGTCAACAGATGTGTTTGAATTACTGTTTAACAGACCCTGACCAGCTCCTGCACTTTCCCCGTCCAGAAGAAATCCCGGAGCGTCATCTCCTCTTTCCAACTGCGATGGCGATATCGGCCTTTCGGCGAGTACATGTCCATTTGGGAAGATATTTGGCGGAGTTCTTGCGCGTCCATTACCAATGGGAAACTCTCTGACTGTCAACGGGAGATTTGCTTTAGATCCATCTTCGAGGAGGCTTGAAGATTGAGGCAGTCCTAAGGTCTTCGCTGAAACAGTTTTGGGCATCACTAAGTTGAGGGATGACTTTTGCGGCTGATAACCATCACGACTTGAGTATATTTGTGGAGGAGATCCCATGGTGCTGGCGTAGGCAGAATAATCTCCTGCATAAAATTTTGTAGAATCACGACATTCAGGAAGTGTCGATGAACTTGGGGGAGTAGGGCAGTACACTTCAGGCATACACCCAGATCTGTTGTACTCGGAGTGTGTACCTACAGGCAATTCAAAATCTTCACATGGGCCACAAGAATCCCAGCGCTCATCAGATGCACGGCACTCACAAGAATGACGTGCGAGAAAACTGGGATATATTCCGATGTGATTTGTTCCAAAGTCATCCTCACTTTGATCCCTTTGTGAACTGTGGCCTGACGGAAGATCGCTTCGGCGTCCACCTTTCAAACCAAGAGATCTTTTTTTTTTCGAATTAGTCTCATGGAAATCTCCTGGTGTTTTTGGAAGGGCAACAGCTTGGGTATTCCAATCCTTGTCAAGGCCGTAAGCCCCATTTGTAGGAAGTACATCGCGGTTTTCACCGCTGTCTGCAAACACATCTCCTCCCTGAAAAGAAGCTTTAAGAACGCCATTCCGTCCATCGCTGACTTCATTTGGTGTTTCCATTACCTCCTGTGAGATGCTGATTCTTCCATTTTTATCCTTTTGGGACGGATTTTTAAGGCGGTAGTGATGCTCACCTTCACTGTTTTCTTGACTAGAAATTTTACCTGGTTCGTTGAATTCTTCGTTGCTGTCCCACTTGTTATTGTCTTCTCCAAATGATGGAATATCAGGGCTCACAACTCCATCTGCCGCGTTGCAAGGAAATTCTCGCCAGCTTCGTTCAGGGCGCGACTTCAACTGAGGAACCTCTTGAAAGTTCTCGCACAGTAAAAGCTTTGCAAGAGCGATATTACATTGCACTAAATCCGGGTGATCTGAACCGTAGTCAAAACTTGTCAAAATACTCAATGCTTCTTCAAAGAAATTATTTGATGACAAGTTTTTTTTCATCAGAAAGAATCTAACACCTTGCCTATAGAGAAACGATGCATGTGTTGGATGGTTTTTCCCTAGCGTTTCTTTGCAAATTGGTACAAAAACGTCAAGGAAAGATGCAAAGTCTAAGTTTTTATCGTTCAAGTGATAATCAACTAAATTCAATATCGTTGCGAACAAGAAGTCCCAGTGGAATTGTCCACTACATCCGAGGGCAACTTCAAAATCGGGAAAGAAAAACGAAAATGAAGACATTAGTGACGAAGCAGACGATGAAGATGACGATATTGATGACGATGACGATGACGATGATGATGAAACTGCTGAAGATGATGATGATGATGAAACTGATGATGACGACGGTGATGATGATGATGATAATGACCCTAGCCCTGACCCCGATGCTGTCGAAAACGATTGTGAAGAAGGCGAGAGTGGTGGTGATAGCGATTCAGGCGAAAGAGAAGGAAAAGTCAAGCGCTCCACTATTTTCTCTGCACGAGCAACATCTCCAATCTTTTGATACGCCAAACAAATTTTTGAAGATATAAATTTCGAGAATATTGCTTCTTCGTTGTTCATCCTCTCAGATAGTGAATCCAACGTCCTCAGCTCCATGAGTGCTTTGACAGGCTCTTTGAGCTCTATGAACAACTCTGCTCTATTGTAATGTATGGCAGCTACCAAATGTGGGGGAAGAATGGGATCTTTGGCCTTCAGAATAAGACGCTCTTGCAACTTCACTGCAGCAATGTAGTTCTTCTGACACTGGTAAGCTAAGCTTAAGTTTGTTTGTATAGCAACAATGTTTATTTCTGGAGAGTCAGTTTTGCTTTTGTTTTTAAATGTTTCAAAAATCTCCAGTGCGCATTCTAGATAATCTCTAGCCTTGTCTGTAACTCTCATAATGAGATAAACACAGCCTACATTTGCCTTGGCTGCTGCTCTTAAAATATCGATAACTTGCATGTTTTTTTCAGAAAGTGGTGTGGTATCAAATGTGAAAAGAGAATAACATCGCTGAAATAAGTCTATAGCTATTTTATATTTATGCAGCTTGAGTGCAACAGCACCAAAGACAATAGTAAAGCTGGCATAAAAATGGACATCCTTATCTGAGGTCAGCTCGGGGTTTAACAAAACAACACCAGAGAGTGGAGGAGCGGAACAATGACTAAAACACATCTTTCTACCTCGATCCACCTGCTCCTTCTCGTGATCAGTCGGGTTTCCAAAGCTCTCTGGGGTTAGATTCAGGAAATGCTTATGCGCAGCTTGCAAAGACTCTGCGGCTGCTTCCACTTTGCATTGCTGGAACTGATATATTGTTTCTTCAAAGTCTTCAAATGTGCTGTGTCTGGCCGATTGATTATCATCAAATTCCAATTCAACCTCAAGATGAGGTCCTGAACCAGCGTTTTTCGGGATCTTGGGGTCTGTTCTGTCCATCTTTCCATATCAAATGTATCACTCCTGAAAAGAAGGTAAATCTTAAAACAAAAATTGATCCACATTAGGTGTCAACAAACTTTTTGATAATAAAGCTGAATAATGCTGTACGTCAGCATCATTTTGCGTGTGTGTGCGTACGCTTTTGCGATGACGCTACCAAGTTCTCCTCTGGATCGTGAAATGCGTTGCTAAATGCAAAAGTAATACGAGATCATCTCAGCCAAAGTCACTCTGCCTCAAACGGTATCTTAAAAATGCAAATGACTTTAGTCGCCATTTCAGGAATTTCCGAAACAAATTAAACAGCCAAGAGCAATATATAGAATCATTGACATTCCAAGGCAAACAACTAACACCAAATATCGATTGAAAAATAGCTCAGTCAGTGTGTGTGGTAAACCGAAGAACAGATTCAAGGCTTTCTTTTTTCTTGTAAAGCGCGTGGTACGCATGGAGCGTGTTCCTTCGCAGCTGTTCAGAGACTCGTCTCGCAACGCTGTTCGTGATATGTGTTCGTGACATGCAGATATATTATTGACACTACGGATAGATATGAATGGGCATGTCAGTAGGCTGACCTTGGGAGATTAAACATTTTTTTTTTAAACCAAACAACTTCAAGAGACTTGCGAAATGAACAACAAAGTGCTTAATCATAACGCTTCGGATCAACTAAATCATTCTCTGACTGCCTAACCAAAACAAGGACTTTCGTGTAGGTACAAAGCAGGGTCAGTAGACAAACTAAGCAGGTTCACTTATTTATTGCATCGACTGAAGAAAACAAAGACGCCAGTAGAGTAAGTTTATAAGGAGCGGTGCTTTCAATAGAACTGGTTCCAAAATAGGATTTTGTTAGGTTAATCCATTTTAGGGTAGAACATTTGGATAGTCCTCCAGGATAGTCTATGGACCGAGTGTCAGTGTTTTGTCTATCACCTTTCAAAAGCAATCTTGGAGGAGACATGTTGAAGATGATTTCACTTCATACCTGTCCTTCATTCCAAAGAAATTATAAATTTGGACAAACTAAGAGTCCTTCAAATATCTTTACGAGGTGAAATGCGTGACATGACACTCAACTAGGGGAAAACTGTGTATCAGAAATGAGAGAAGATCGCTTCGTACGATTGTACCAACAATGTTTTTATAGCAATAACAATTATTTCCAGTGTTTAGGTGCCAGTTTCGCATTCGCATGCCAAAAATATAAAGAAACGCTGCGGTCCAGCGCAAACAGTTTGACGTAAAAATAGTGTGTCGAAAAACCGTTCTAATAATTTGTATGAACAACAGCTTGCCTCACATCCCTTCCTGAGTACTGATAGACTGCATCCCATCCCTCCCTAAGTACTAATGGTCTGCCTCCCCTCCGATAAAATGGTCGGAAAAAATGGTCCAAAAATTGGTCCAAAAGAAGGTCCAAACTGAATGGTCCAAAAATAGTCCAAAAAATAGTCCAAAAAAAATAGTCCAAAAAAATTGTCCAAAAAAGTAGTCCAATGGTCCAAGGGTCCGATGGTCCAATCCACCTTTTATACCATGCCGAAAGTTTGTGATCCTGTGGTACAACAAACTTATCGACAACCATTCGAGCATGACAAAATATAATGATCCGTCGATTGGCGCTTGCTTGCGGAGGCAAGTTTCAATATTGGGTGTCGACCATGTGTTGGTCTCGGTCACTTTCGTATTACGCGCCTAGAGCGCGTTAGTTTTTACTTTGAGTTTTGGTTTCGCCTGTCAATCGAAATGACTTCTAATTTGGTCATGGTTTGATGGCTCAAAATGGAAGTAGATCACAAGTAGTGAAGTGGAACGTACCTACAGTGAATCAACTTCCAATAAAGCATAATTAGCAAATATGTACAGCGCAGGTTTTGCTTCTGAATCATTATTTGTCTGCTATTAACGAGCGTATGCATACTTAGCTTATTCGACCGAATGTGGAAGCTGTTGGGGGCGGTTATGA